AAACAAAAGAAAATCCATCCTGGTTAAGGCATGTCACTGGTCTGCAAAACACGATGTTTGAATTTAAAAAAAAAAAACGTTTTTAACTTTTCCGTTTTTGAGTACCTAACTATCCAAAGAATCGATAGCGCCTGACGTTTCCTTGTAAAAAAGTCAAAAATTCAGTTTTAGAGACTTTTTCCAGAGGGCACCCTTATCAAAAGTTGGCGCGTTTTCTTGAGATCCGTCCATATTATTGGACCCTGAGAACTACTATGTGTCCGTATGACTTGGCGCATCATTATGTCAACTTCTTAGGTTTGAGAAAAAAACGAGAGAGAGAGAGAGAGAGAGAGAGAGAGAGAGAGAGAGAGAGAGAGAGAGAGAGAGTATTGGCTTATCGGTATTCCGTAGCAAAGAATCTGTTAACTTGCTTCCCTAACGTCTCGGATATTTTCGGTAATTCTCGGCAATAAGTTGTATTAGAAACCTTCCAGGTTGTGCCTTTTTTCATTTTGTACACTCAACCATAGTCCGTCTGTGAATCTGTGGCGGGTCGGTCGGCACAACCTTGCAAATCGGCTAAAATCTGGCTAGTTACGAGGGTATCTTCCTCCTTCCTCTCATTCACTAATTCTTTCCGTCTATTTTCGGGATTTTGCTGAGGCTGGAAATTCTGTACGTTGATCAAGGAATCTGAATGGCGAATGTAGAAACAAAATCAGTAGCAGGAAGAAACTTTTTTCAAATCTGTTTAGATCTGGAGAATATGTCAGTATGATGTTTATACCGAAGCAGGATAATGCTGCCGTGCAAAAAACTGATACTCAAATAAAAGATAAATATAAGTGGTGCTCTGAGGCTGTAGCATAAGGCAATCGAATGCGTAAATGGAGGAAAATTAGAGTATAGACTTGGTGTGTCCTCTAGATGGATGTCCCCGGATTTGCGTAGTCTACTGTAAATGATTCAATGTCAAATTGAAAAGAGGCCATGGAAAATGCCATTTTCAACCCTCGAAAAGCTCAAGATTTCCATTTCTTCCCGAGACTTTTGCTCTGCCTTGAGCCGAACTATAATGTTTTTCTTTTGATAATTTGTGTCGTGCACGTTTGTTCAAATCCATGAATGCTGAAACATGGTTTTGACATTTGATGTTCTAGCCTTTCCACAGGCCTGGATCAGGATTGATTTTTTTATAGTCAAAGGAAAACTAGTTAAATCTGACTGTTGTACCAAAGTCACACAGGACGTATCAGTGTCCTTAGATAGGTATACTATTGTCAGAAAATATGTTTTAATTAATATGGTTTTTATTGGTACGGGCCATGGGTTTTGAAGTCAGTTTGGCAGTCACCATGCATTCAAATCCACATTCAATACTGACTGATAGATGATTTGAATAACAGTCCATAAACGCTTTAAAAGACACATCTCATCTCACCAACACTGTTCATCTTCATTTATGCAGGTTTACCCACCATAACGAATTTGACGGAAATTTCCGCAATTTTTCTCAGTTTTATTAAAATTATACGGTCGAAGCACCCTTGATTCCGATTGTTCAAATTGTACGTGCCGTTCGGCCACTGCAACCCTCTCCCACCCTCTTGGAACATATTAAGGAAGAAAAAAACAATCCGTCCCTTACACTCTACGTCAATACAATACGTATTCTGTGTACAGAGCCTTTGCAGACTCTCAGACGCCTCTTGGAAAAGCATAGCTGCACCAGTGCCAGGATTTGGTCTGAAGCATAGAGAACTGGAGTCGCTATAACTGTATAATACAGCTTGACAAGTCGTTTAAAATTTCCTGCTTCTACGCAGTAGGAGACGACGCAGGCCAGTGGGAGAATATATATATATATA